ATTCCCTTGTAATCCTAGTTTGCTAAGAGTTTCTAATCACGATTGATATCACATTTCAGCAAATGCTTTTTTCTGCATTAATTGAATTGATTATATATATTTTCTTCTTAATTTTCTAAATGTAAATTACATTCACTTTTTTAAAAAAAATTGAGATATAACTCGCATGCCATACAAGTCACCATCTTAAAATGTACAGTTCTGTGGTTTTTGGTATATTCATAAGATTGTACAACCATTACAACTAACTTCAATACATTTTCATCGCTCCAGAAAAAAAACCCCATACTCATTGCAGTCATTCCTCATTTCTCCCTTCTGCTCTGGCAACCACTAATCTACTCTCTGTCTATGGATTTGCCTATTCTGGACATTTCATATAAATGGAATTACACAGTATATGGCCCTTTGTGACTGGCTTCTTTCACTTAGTATAATGTTTTCAAGGTTCATCCATGTTGTAGCATGGATCGGGACTTCATTCTCTTTATGGCTGAATAATAGTATATGGATGTACTACATTTTATCTGTTCATCACTTGAGAGACATTTGGGTTGCCTTCACTTTTTGACTGTTATGAATAAGCTGCTATGAAAATTCACATACAAGTTTTTGTGTAGACATGAGTTTTCACCAGATTCCTGCAGACATACTTCTAGTCATCATAAAATATTTGCTACCGCAGCAGTAGTCCCAGGGATACTATAACCCTGGGATATGGGACCATCAGGATCCTGGGTTTGCTTTATTTTCTCCATTGTGTCTTCCCTCAGTCTGAAGCTCATAGTGCCTTCCTGCCTGCAATCATGTGCTTTGTGAATCTGGTAAGAGTTTATGAAATTTGGTTGACTTGCTGAACAGGTGGAAAGAAGAAAGAAAGATCACACTGTTTACTTCTCTTGGCCTCTGCTTATTCTGTTTCTTTTGGAAATGCCCTTTCCCATCTCGGTCTGGCTAACCCCTGTTCATCCTTTATGACTTCTTTCAGGTATTATCTTCTCCAGAAAGGTGGTTTATTACTTACCTTCATCTGTATGCAGAGCATGCACCATTGTCCTATTTTGCAGATTGAAGGCTTGAAACTCAGACTTTTCCAGGGTCACCCAGTGAGTTACTGGCAACCATAATACTGAATCCTTCCTCTGAGATTCTTTCCACTAACAGAAATTTCTTTTAATTCCTTGACCTCAGCTGTTTAGCTCCTGGGTTTGTGGTGATGAGCCAGTGAGACAATGACTGGCAGAGCTTGGTGAAGGGCTGTACACAGGTGAAGGGGATGATTGTTACTTCCCAGAAGGGATTAATTGGGTTCCAGGTGGCTCTAGGACTGTATGACTTCTCCATTTCTCTTCTGTATTCCTGCCTCTTGAATCCTGTTTTCTGCTGGTGATCCCCAACTGGTGAATACTCAGTCTAAATATTACACAGTACCAGGCCGGGCACAGTGGCTCATGCCTATAATACCGGCACTTTGGGAGGCCAAGGTGGGTGGATCACCCGAGGTCAGAAGTTCGAGACTGGTAAACATGGTGAAACCCTGTCTCTACTAAAAATACAAGTAGCCAGGTGTGGTGGTGGATGCCTATAATCTCAGCTGCTTGGGAGGCTGAGGGAGGGAGAAATTGCTTGAACCGGGGAGGTGGAGGTTACAGTGAGCCGAGATCATGCCATTGCACTCCATCCAGCCTGGGCAACAAGTCTGAAAAAAAAAAAAATTACGCAGTACCCAAGCTAAATCCTGCCACCTAGATTTCCCCATTCCTTTTACTTCTCTCCTTTCCCACTTCAGCCAAGTCATTGCTATTTTTGTACTCCACTATGTTAAACTGTTATTTCAGTTAGTAGTTGATTCCAGTCAAATTTCAGTAGGGATCGGGGTATAATAAAGAGTGAAAGACTTGATCAGGTGGACTTACAGTCATGTGCTCTGTGAATCAGGACAAGTCAACTTACTTCCCTGGGCCTCTTTCCTCAGGGAATGGGATTACATGGTCTCTAGAATCACTCCCTAATACTTTCTTTATTTATTTTTTGAGACACAGTCTCACTCTGTCACCCAGGCCGGAGTGCATTGGCACAATTTCAGCTCACTTCAACCTCTGCCTCCTGGTTCAAGCTATTCTCGTGCTTTACCCTCTTGAGTAGCTAGGATTATAGGCACGTGCCACCACGCCCCGCTAATTTTTGTATTTTTAGTAGAGATGGAGTTTCGTCATGTTGGCCAGGCCAGTCTTGAACTCCTGATCTCAGGTGATCTGCCTGCCTCAGCCTCCCAAAGTGCTGGGATTACAGGCGTGAGCCACCGCGCCTGGCCATTCCCTAATATTTTCTAGAGTATTCTTCAATCCAGTAAGCCATGTGCTGGATTGAAATTCAGAAGTATAGTGATTGTAATTGGAAGTGATAATTTTGGTCCTCAAGAAGCTTACATTTTGGATTTGTAAACTGGCAAGGAATCATATAAGACAGGAAATGACTAGATGCTTGGTGGTGTAGCAGACTCAGTGTCTTGGGAATTAACAGGAAGAAGAAAGGTCAGGAAATCCTTCCTGGAAAAAGGGGGACCTGAGCCAGTCTTTAAAAGATGGCTGAGATAGGGAGAAGGAGAAGAGAGCATTCCAAACAAGGAGAAGAAAAAGCGAGCAAAAACGTGGAGGTGGGAATGTGTGAGGTATATTCAAAGGTTGCAGGGTAAAGAGTGCTCAGTAGAAGCAGAGCTGACTTTAGCATTACCCTGTGTGTTCATGTATTAAATTATTCCATTTCCCTGGAACTCTTTTCTGTAAACTACTCATGCTTTGAGCTAACTTTCTTTTTGGGCGTCCTTTACTAAAGTTTCTTCTGCATTTGACAGTTCATGCCTGTGATGTATTATATAGTATATCAATTATATATAATAGAACTAATGTATAAACATGCACAGATATAAAAAATAAAAATTGAAATAAAACACAAATATAATTGTACTTCCCTAAGTGACTAGATCAGAGGGAATTTAGAAACAGAAAGTAGTTCCAAAGCCCTGCCACATGTTCCAGTGCATTCTGGCTATGAGAAAGACAGATGGACTTATGTCATAAAGGACTGCTTGACTTGGGGCCCTGGTATACCCCTTAGCCTTGTCTTTCTCAAAGCAGCTGCTTCTGAAAGGGAAATTGCCAAGTACATAAATAGCTTACACCCTAGCACTTGGCATGTAGGCAAATGGTTCTCATTAAGATACTGAAGAATGAACCTTTGGAATCAGACCTGGGTTCAAATCCCAGCTCTCAGTAGCTGTATGAGTAAATTATTCAGTTTCTTCATCTGTAAAATGACAGTAGTAGTATTTATCTCATAGGATTGTAAGAATGATGGTAGTAATATCTATCTCGTAGGATTGTAAGAATGAAGAAAAATACTATATTGACATCATTTTTGTATACATAGCAAGTTCTTAATGTCATTTCTTCTTATTACACTGAAGTATGTTTTCTTGATTCAACTTGAAATGTTTTAGGGGAGGTAAAATAGAATGTAAAGAACCTTGGCTTTGATGCCAGACTTTTTGGACTTTAATTACTTAATGATTGTAGGCAAGTCTGTTCCCAAATTTTCTAATCTGCAAGTAAAACTTGCCTCAGGATTGTGGTGATTGTATTACATGATATGTATGAAATACCTATTTAAAACTGTGGAATGCCGTCTCAGGAAGGAATCTTAACTGCAGAGCTTTGAGAAGGCATAGCTTCTTGTTTTCATAGACTCACAGAATGTAGGCGCTTGAGGGACCCTTAAGATCATCCAGCTCATACTCGCCCTTGTTTAGATGAGACAGCAGAGATCCTGGTCTCTCTCTCTCTCTCTACGCACGCACACGCGCGCGCATTGTGGTAAGGTAGAGGTGAAACTGGCTTGAACTCTAGACCTTTTTGTGTTTTCCTTCTCATTTTGCTACCTTTTATCAGGGTTATGCTGGGTCTGTGGAGGTATTAGAACTTCAGAATTTCTTTTGGTTAGTGTATTGAGCTCCCAGACAACAGGATTTTAAAATAAGGTTCACAGGTGCTGGGTAACAAGTGTTGTGAAAGTCAGGCCAGAGCTGCTGAAAGGAACATTTATTCCTGCCCTGGAGAGAATTTTTCTGTCTTAGGCAGATTCCTTAAACTCCTTGCCCAGTTGAGGTAAATGTCTGGTCATTTTTTCCTTTCTTCACTTACTGTCTGAGTACCTACTTTGTGCCAGGTGTGTGCTAACCTCTGGGAAGCTGTGACTAATTTGACATGGCCCCTGCACTTAGAATTCAGTCTGGTATGGAAGATAAACACTTATAATAGTCAATTACTATTACATATATTGGGTGCTATAGGAACAGAGAGGGTAAAGAACTGCCCAGCCTAGAGATCAAGGAGGGCTTCACAAAAAAGAAGACTTACCCTATATCAAATGGGTAGTTACTGGTAAAACCAGGACTGTTAACTCTGACACACATTCTTTTTGCCTCTCCTTTTATTTTATTTTATTTTATTTTATTTTGAGACAGGGCCTCATTCTGTCGCCCGGGCTGGAATGCAATGGCATGATCTTGGCTCACTGCAACCTCTACATCCTGGGCTTAAATGATCCTCTTGCTTCAACTTCACAAGTAGCTGCCACTACAGGCATGCACCACCATGTCCAGCTAATTTTTGTATTTTTTGTAGAGACAGGGTTTTGCCATGTTGCCTAGGCTGGTCTTGAACTCCTGGACTCAAGCGATCTGCCTGCCTTGGCCTCCCAAAGTGCTGGGATTACAGGCATGAGCCACCATCTTATTTTAGTTCAACAAGAAATTAAGTCTTTAAACATGCATTGAGTATCTGCTCCAATCCAGGTCCATAATTGGGGTCTTCAACATATGTGAAATATTAATAGATAGACTTTGCCCTCTCAAGGAGACTACAGCGCAATAAAGAGCTAAAATAAGCCTAAAAACAATAATGTTCCTGTTTTTTATTTCCTTTTCCCTGTTTCTCTTGCAGCAAATAAAAAGAAAGAGAAAGAGCGGCCAGAGATTTCTCTCCCTTCAGATTTTGAACACACAATTCATGTTGGTTTTGATGCTGTCACAGGGGAGTTTACGGTAAGTCCTGGGTCACAGAAAGGTCTTCAGTCTTTTAGAGCTCTGGCTGTGCACTGTTAGATTTAACCCTTTCTCATCTTCCTGATGCTTCTGTCTTTGCCTGAGACCCTGATTACAATTTTCTCACATTCATCAGTGGGACACTTGCATCGCTAAAATTGTATCCAGAGAAGCCTTTCCATCTCCATTCTTTAAATAATAAACCTCTGTTAAGTGGTAGGCTTGGTAGCAGGCTCTGTGTGGGGCACTGATCATGCAGGAACAGCATCCTATCCTACCATCCTGGAGGTATAGCCTGGTGAAGGAGCAGACATCTTAAGAAATGACTAATACAATGAGAAAGATATTATAAAAGAGGCTTATGTAAACTCTGAGGGTATAGAGAGAAAGGAATGACTAACAAATGCATCTTTTGCTGCTAGCAAGTGTCAGAGTTAGCTCTGATGTTCTTTCAGGGTCCACTGTGATTGTGCCTTCCTATTAGTCTTGCATGTCTCTCTTATAGGGAATGCCAGAGCAGTGGGCCCGCTTGCTTCAGACATCAAATATCACTAAGTCGGAGCAGAAGAAAAACCCGCAGGCTGTTCTGGATGTGTTGGAGTTTTACAACTCAAAGAAGACATCCAACAGCCAGAAATACATGAGCTTTACAGGTATGAAAACTGTGTCCCGGGCAGTCTCAGCAAGAGATGGTTTTAATCTGGATGGGAAAACTCACATGCCTATTGGTCTGGGATAAGAGAACAAAGTAGTTGAAAGAGTGGAAGTGGCACTTTAACTAACGTGGAATTTTGGAATTTGACAGCCAAGATGATGGACTTTGCATCAAACTTAAGTCTTCACTCTGACACTGCACATGTTTTTTTAAAAATAGTATGGTATTATATAGAGAGAACACAGATTTTGTGCTAGAAGGTCTAGATTCTGACCCTTACTAGATTCTAACAGTCGCTTCATTTCTTTGCGCCTCAAAATGGGAATAATTCCTATCTCAAGAGGCTGTAGTGAGAAATGATTGGGCACAGTGCCTCACGCCTGTAATTCCAACACTTTGGGAGGCCGAGGCAAGATGATCGCTTGAGGTCAGGAGTTCGAGACCAGCCTGGGCAACATGGCAAAACCCTGTCTCTACAAAAAATACAAAAATTAGCCAGGTGTGGTGGTGCATCCCTGTGGTCCCAGCTACTTGGGAAGCTGAGGTGAAGGGATCACTTGAGCCTGGGAGGTGGAGGTTGCAGTAAGCAAGGATCACACCACTGCCCTCCAGCCTGGGCAACAGATTGAGACCCTGTCTCAAAAAAAAAAAAGGTTATAGTGAGAAATAAGTGAGCCGACAGATGTGAAAGTTCTTTATAAGTTGTAAAACATCACCATAGAAATGTAACTATCATTATCATCATTATTGTTAATATTATTATTAGTTATTTAATAACACTAATAATGTATGTCTTCCTCAGGGAACTAATTTTTATTAGTTAAATGAAAAACAGGCCATTAAATAATAAATTTCTTTACATGTACCCTCAGTAGAAGGGACTATATTTTTCAGAGTGTTTTTAATAGCAGAATTGGGATTAGAACCCAGGTCTCCTAATTCCTATACCATCATCTTTTGAATTTACTGCTTGCCCCTAATAATGTTATTTGGAGGCTCTCCTTCCATAGAGGACCAACTTTCTCCCTTGTTTTGCAGGTGTGAGAGCCAAAGAAGGCCTTTCTAATATGTTAAATTAATAGTGGGCTAATCTTTTAATTTCCAGGCTCTTTACTCATGTTGCCTCCTTCAAATGGCAGTATTGTTGGGAAGGTGAGAACCAGGATGAACTAGGGAATTTGAAGGATGCTTTCCCCAGCCGGTATCTGGCTTGTTTCAAGGGCACAGATGGTGGAGATGACAGGCTACAGCTTCACTCATGCTGCCATGGTGGTGCCCAGGAGAGGGCCATGCATGTGCCCAGCAGTATTTCCTTCCTCTCGTCTGGCCCCGCTGAGTCTGTCTCACTTCTTCCATTGAGGGACTGAGTCATTTCAAGGAGGAATTGGGGTGGAGGGCTACTGAGTGGGAAAGTTTTCTAGTCAGGAAATTAGAGTTTATGTTAAGGAACTTGTCATGGAAACATCAGGTTAGAGGCTGTCTTTGAAAACCTCAGTGGCTAAGTCTTGGGAAGGATCTTTCCTGCGTGTATATATGTAGATATGTGCTAGTGGCATGTAAGTGTGTACGTAAACAGAGGCATAGCCCTATGGGTTTGCATATATTTGGAATTAAAGCCCACTTAAGTATTCATGAACAAAGATAAAGTCCACTCAGGTATTCATGAACGAACATATGTATAAATATACACATTCAGGTAATTATGTGTATGTTCATTCATGCATGCATATATGAATAATATTGAGTGTGTATGTACAGATACATGTGTGTACATCTACTTTTGTATGTACAAATTTGTGCACATGTATATATATATATATGTATGCCAGAATTTTAATTTTCTGTAAGTTGAAGACTAGGGCCAACTCTAGGCAAAAGTGCATATTTGGCACAGGTTTTTTAAAGTGTCATATCTCTCCTTTCCCTATTTGCCATCCTCTCATACTATTAGTTATGATAATACTACCTCAATTTGTATATGCTCACATGTGAATTACCTCACGTGATTTTTTTTTTTTTTTTTTTGAGACAGAGTCTTGCTCTGTCACCCAGGCTGGAGTCCTGTGGTACGATCTCAGCTCACTGCAGCCTGTGCTCCTGGGCTCAAGTGATTCTCCTTCCTCAGCCTCCTGAGTAACTGGGACTGCGGGTGTGTGCCACCACACCCAGCTAATTTTTGTGTTTTTAGTAGAGATGGGTCATCATGTTGGCCAGGGTGGTCTTGAACTCCTGACCTCAAGTGATTTGCCCGCCTCAGCTTCCCACAGTGCTGGGATTACTGGCATGAGCCACTGAGCCTGGCTCCCTCATGTGATTCTTATGATGGCCTTAGGAGACTGGCAGGGCAAGGACTATTATCCTCCTTTTATATATGCAAAGAAATTAATTAGACTCAGAGAAGTTAAGTGACATACCCCAAGTGACTCAGCTGATACATGATGGAAATGTATTTTGACTTGGGCCTTTAACTCCTTTGCTACCTATAACCCAAACACAATCCTCCATGCTAATTTTGGTCAAGTGTTTCTATTTTTTCAACACTTCATTTTTTTTTTTTTTTTTTGAGACGGAGTCTCACTCTGTCACCCGGGCTGGAGTGCAGTGGCGCAATCTTGGCTCACTGCAACCTCCACCTCCTGGGTTCAAGCAATTCTTCTGCCTCAGCCTCCCAAGTAGCTGGGACTATAGGCGCACACCACTATGCCCAGTTAATTTTTGTATTTTTAGTAGAGACAGGGTTTCACCATATTGGTGAGGCTGGTCTCGAACTCCTGACCTTGTGATCCACCCACCTTGGCCTCCTAAAGCGCTGGGATTACAGGTGTGAGCCACTGCGCCCAGCAACACTTAATTTTTTATACCGGTTAGTAGCTAATGTAATAGGGAAAAAGTAGATGAGACTGACAACGCAGCTGGGTCTTAGCCCTATTTTGCCAATGACTTACGTGACCTTGAACCAATCTTTTTCCTTTTCTGAACCTCATTTTACTCATCTGTAAATGAAAGTGCTGGAAGTACTTTCTGTTCCGTCATTCTGTGCTTTGGAATTTGATTTTGATATATAGTTCATCACCTTTGAAGGGAGTGTTTACTTATTTTTTATATGACATAACAAGTATACTTATTACCAAAATACCCAATCTTCAAAAATACTAGCAGTACATAAAGTTGGGGGTAGTGCAGTGAAGGCATAGTGTTGTACTCTGCCAAAGTTGATAGTCTTCTGGACAAGAAAAAACAAATGAATTATGTTTAAAGTATATCCTGAATTTATTTCTCCAGAATACTGCTAGCTATTCTGGATTTGTTATAAGAACATGTTGTCAGAGCTTGCCTTATTTCCTGCTGTGTGGGTTCATGATTTGCTGTAGGGTCAAAGAAGCTGTATCTAGCACTTTTTATATGATGGAATTGGGATTGTACATTCTCTGGGCTTGGTTCTTGGTGAGGAATATATTGGATTTGGTAGAATATTTCTCCTCTTCAATTCCATTAGTGGTGAATTGGCAAAGTCAGTTTTTCTTGGACCCATGGGAATTAAAGAACAAAACTGAAGACATTAACTGGTCTTTAAACTTATTTCTTGCTAAGATCTCCGTTGGGTCTCTCTTTCATATTTTATGAAGTCTAAGATACCACTGATTGTAAGATGCACAATTATTTCCATACCAATCAAGGAAAATAAAGCTGCCAATTAAACCATAACATGGATGGTAGGACACACCTCTGTTTCAGAGACTTTAATGTGAAAAATGTACCTCTCAGAATCAATTAAACATGGTAATTGCTTCATTGAGGGAGCTTGACTCTATTCTTGGAAAACAAGACCCTACCTTTAATTAGACTTGACAGGATTAATACCTGTCTTTTCCTCAACCTTAGTCCTTTTGTCCCTGTGGGCAATAGATATGGATATAGAAGGATCCTTTATGAAAGCTGAAGCCGGAGACTGGCCATGATTTGGCATGTATGACTCAGGGGTGGTGCTATGGATTCTTTCCTATTCTTTTAGAACGCAGATTTTCTTAGCTATTTAAGCCTTACAGTGATATAGCTGATGATGTGGATACAGTTCTAGCATAGTATTTAAAATGAGACCAGAATTCGAATCTAATTCCTCTCTTTAACCTGTGTGTACCCTGGACAGATAACAGTCATGTGCCACAACAACAGACCGCATATACAATGGTGGTCTGATAATATTATAAGGAAGTTGAAAAATTCTTATCACCTAGTGATTACTTAAGTTTAAAATAAATTTAGTGTAGCCTACGTGTATACTGGTAATGTCCTACTTAGGCCTTCACATTTACTCATCACTCACTCAGTGACTCACCCAGAGCAACTTCCAGTCCTGCAGGCTCTGTTTATGGTAAGTGCTTATGTAGATATATCCTTTTATTTACCTTTTGAACTATATTTTTATTGTACCTTTTCTATGTTTAGATATACAAATGCTTACCATTGTGTTACAGTTGCCTGCAGTAACATGCTGTACAGGTTTGTAGCCTAGAAAGCAATAGGCTATACAATATAGCCCAGGTATGTGGCAGGCTATACCATCTAGGTTTGTGTAAGTACACTCTATGATGTTCCTATAATGACAGAATTACCTGATGACACATTTCACAGAGCATACCCTATTGCTAAGCCACACACAACTGTACTTAACATCTCTGAACTTGTTTCCAAATCAATAAAAGTAGATATAATAACAGTACTCAGAGCCATAATGAGGATTAAAGAAGGTGATATGTATAATGCATTTAGCATGATATCTAGCCTGTAGTACCAGTCATACTATTACTATTCTCTGAATCTGGCATGTGCTTGACCAGATAGACTTCTTTTGCTGTCAAGAAAGAATTAACTGTGATTGTTTATTGACTAAGTCCCTTGTCTTTCTTCCTGTGCAGATAAGTCAGCTGAGGATTATAATTCTTCTAATGCCTTGGTAAGTATTTACTCTATGTTGATGTGGGCAGACGTGGAGGTAAGGATCAAGACGGTGTGGCAGAGGCAGAGCCTGAGCTGGAGGCACTCATATTAGTCACTTCTGCACCCTTGGCCTCAGAATTCCTATCTATCCAATAAAGAAATTAGATATAATAAATAGGAGTGTCCCTTTCAGCTTTAATGTCCTAGAAATTCTTTCTTTGTGATAATTTTTTTATTTTTAATTTTTATGGATTCATAATAGTTGTAAAATGTTCTAGAAATTCTGGAACCAGAAGATATGGCTTTAGGTTCAGTTTTTTAATTTGTAGCTTTGAACCTTGGGAAAGTCAGTTTGCCTCTTTGAGCTTCAATTTCTTCATCAATAAAATGAGAATGATATACTCTGCCCTTACCTGGACGTGTCTTCAGATACCTACATTTAGAAGAAAATTTCCTCTTTGGTCTATGGAGTCTGCAAAACCAAGATTAGTACTAATTGTTGAAGGGAACAGATTTTATTCATTTAAAGTCATTCATTCTGTCCTCTGAAGTTGTAATGAATGCTTTGACACTCGAATGGATGTTACAGAAATCATGAAGAATTGGCTGGGGATTAAACTAGAGGATCTCTGTGTCTCTCTCAACTTACAAATTCTATTTCCCAGGGCAATTACAAGGATAAAATGCGATGTTGATGTATTTTAAAGGGTCCTATAAATAATAAATTGTGATGCATGTAAGAGAATACTGCCTTTTTTTTTTTTTAAGAGATGAGGTTTTGCTCTGTTGTCCAGGCGGGAGTGCAATGGTGTGATCATAGCTCAGTGTAAACTCAAACTCCTGGGCTCAAGTGATGCTCCTGCCTCAGCCCTCTGAATAGCTGGGACTATAGGCATAAGCCACCACACTCAGCTAATTTTTAAAAAGTTTTGGTAGAGATGGGATTCTCATTTTGTGTTCTCAAACTCCTGGCTTCAAGTGATCCTCCTGCCTCGACCTCCCAAAGTGTTAGGATTACAGGTGTGAGCCACCACACCTGGTTGCTATTTATTTTTTACATCTGATGTCTCTTGTACATAGGTGGTTATGCCATTCTGATTTACTAAACATTTGCAAAAGCCCTAGTTTATACTATGCCAAGTCCGGTGTGAATAAGTGACATTACAGAGATGGTCAGACATGTCCCAATACCTAAGAACCTCCCAGTCTTGAGGCTGAAGACCTCAAGCAGCCAATCCTTCATGATTCCCATTTGTGCTTGAAGGCACAGACAGATAATTATAGTGCAGCATGCTAACCTTCATGAAGCCAGGGGCTGTTTCTGACTTGTTAATTGTTATACCGTTTGCATCTGGCAAGTCTTGGCATTTGGTAAACATTTACTGAATGAAAGGTTGGAGGTGTCAGAGAAAGCTTCCTGATGGTAAAGTCTGAGTTGAATGAGTTAGTTATCTAGAGCAAAGATTAAGGGGAAATGCGGATATTCCACACAGAAAGAGAATAGCATGTGTGTGGGCAAGGAAGTTCATGAGGTATACTTGCACAGGGAACTGCGAAGTGGTTTGTTATGACTAGAATGTGAATTGTGAAGGAAGTAGAGGTGGGCGATGAGGAGGAGTGGTAGGGGTAAGCGGGACAAATCATGTAGGAGTTTGACTTATCTTAAAGGTGATGAGAAGCTTAAAGAACTTAAGCAGGAGAGTGGTTAAGTTCTAACACAATACCGAGTCACCATCAAAATACTTTGAACCATGCTTCCACCGTGGGTACTGGTTTATTCTGAGTCATTTTTACACTTATTGATTATAAAAAACAATATTCACATGTTCAGTGCCTTGCAACCTGTTGGATCCTTTCTTACCGACTCTCTGAATCCTCACAGGAGCTTACTGAGGTAAGTTATTATCCTTATAGATGATAAAACTGAAATGGAAAAGAGTTAATGGCAATAGGCATCTGATTCCCAGCCTATACTGCTTTCCCCCGCTTCCTGCTGCCTTTCATCAAATGGAAGAGATGTAATTAAAAGATGGGAAAGAATTTGCAAATACAGGATCTTTGAATAGTAAATTATTGAAGAAGAGGCTTTAAGCCGAATTGTGCTTCATGGCTCAAATGTCTTTATGCTTTTGTGGAAAGAGTGATAGCCATCAATATTGAGTGCCTACGATGCACTGTGTTAAAAACTTTATATAAGCATGATTAGCCTCACAATTACCTATGTAGAAAGTATTGTCATCTCCATTTCATAGGCAGAAAAAGAGAGTTTCCTGAAGACTTATAATTAGAACCACATTAGAACTGGGGTCTTCTGAATCCCAGTTTGGGTTTCTTTTCACTGTGGCAAGGAACAAAAAAAGATGTCATTGAGGTCTTATAAAGGAGACTGCAGTAAAGCTGTAGCTATGTTGTTTGTTATTGAGGAGGAAGAGCCCTGGGGTTCATGCCATATGGCAGGGAGGATAACACCTGCTTGGTAAAAACTTGTACTGGTTTAGTATCTACAATTAAAACTACTAAGACTGTGAAGGACATTGTTCTCCCTCAATTCAGAACATTTGTCCAGCACTAGCTCAGTGCTCTATATATCCTTACTAGTTTTACATGGAGGAAATGTTTTGTATTATGGTAGCATGTCATTATTTTCCATATTGGTTTCACACAGATGATTCCACTTGTGAAATAATCAAATACAATTGCTGCCTAAGAAATTAAGACTCAGAGAGATTAAGTGACTCACTCTCTACGTTTGACTGAGTTAGTAGTAGAAACCAGCACAAAATTCTGCTCTCCTGAGCATTCATGTATTCACTCACACCCTAAATATTGAGTTAGTATCTTCTTTATGCCAAAGTACAGGTGACACAAAAATGAACGTGCACTATCTTAATCCTTGAGAAAAAAAATTAATGACAGACTGGGGAGAGAAGGGCTGCAAGAAAGGCATGAATAATGTACAATGGGGTTATATTTGATGGAGTGATTTATTCTGCTCTGAAGTACAAGGAAGTTTGCAGAGTTCTTGGGCCTTAAAACATTGTTCGTTTAACAAACATAATCTTAAAGTCCCTTTTAGCTCTAAATTCTGTTATCTGTGGTTCACTGGTCTGAGATCTGACTCTAAGATTCCATGGCATTTTAATGCCTGATTCTCATTTATAAAATGAATAGTTACCACATGATAGGTTCTTTGGGTGCTGAGAAGTCAAGGACTAGTAAGATCTCTGCTCTTGGTCTCACAGTTTTTGTGGTGAATCAGAACATGTAAACAAGGATTTATAATACAGTGTTAGGTAAGCATCAGGTAATGATACCAGGCAGAGAAAAAGGCAGTGCTTTCCTGTGTGATGGACAGCATGAACAAAAGTTGGGTTAAGGATCCAGTATGTTAGGCCAGAGAGCTTGGACTTTATGCTGGAGCTGAGGGAGTGTTTTAAATAGAAGATTGATGTAGTTGGATATGTGATGTCTAAACTAACATCTTAGATTTCTTTAGAAATTGGATCAAGATAGTAAACTGAATTCATGTGCCCATCTCTCTTGCTATCTCAAATTTCTTAATTTCAGAAATGATTTCTTAAAAATCAAATTAAAAGCAATGTTCTAAAACAAAAGCATGACGTAAATCAACTGTTGTGAGGAATTCATGGAAGATAGAAAGCAGAAAAGGTCAGATTGATCAGAGCAGAAGAAGCCACAACTTAAAGTATAAGAGAAGATGCCTAGGAAAATGAAAGTAGCTCCAGAGAAAATGGGCTGAAAGAATATATACAAGAAGCAGGAAAGAGTCATGGGCCATCTTCAAGGGTAAATTAATTTAATTCTACCTTTGAAACAGTAGGGGCAGCCTCCTCCTTACAGTGCACAAAAGGCAGTGGGTGCATTTGATTCTAAGCTAAAATCAGCTAATTTTCTGGAGAAAGTAAACTGCCTACTTGAGGAAAGCTCTTGCTGTGGGTATAGGGGCCTGAGAGAGAAACAGAGAGGAACCTGAGTTAACTGCAATATTCTACCACAGATATAAAGAAAAGGAAACAGGAGAAGTAGCTCTGCAGTGAAGGAAAATACATTAAAGTTTTCCATCCCAAGAGTAAATTTGTCATACTTTTGATACCTGGGAGGAGGGGAATCTCTACTTTTCCATGCCTGCGTACCCTAAAGTAACACTTGCCAATAACCATCTCTCCATAACTCACGAACAGATCATATCAGACCTCCATTCAGAGGAGGACAGTGGAAAAACAGACTTACATAAGTTTCAGAAAAACTAATGTTAATTACACTAATCTGTCGTTCACTTATAAATATGAATGAATAGCCAACGATCTCCAGACATTTGAGAGAAACACAACATTAAAGAGAGGGACCAAGATAAGGAAAGAAAATTAACCCCAGAGGAAATAGATAATTCAGGAAATAACTTTTTTAAAAATCTAATATTTTCAGAGAGGATCTATAGTTGTTGCATCTACAGAAACACCCTGCTATTAGAGCAACCAGAGGAGGAAAGAGTGTTCTTAGTATTAAAAACGTAAGAAATAAATTTATGGCTGGGCACGGTGGCTCACACCTATAATCCCAGCACTTTGGGAGGCTGAGGCAGGTGTATCACCCGAGGTTGGGGGTTCGAGACCAGCCTGGTCAACATGGTGAAACCCCATCTCTACTAAAAATATAAAAATTAGCTAGGTGTGGTGGTACATGCCTGTAATCCCAGCCACTCGGGAGGCTGAGGTAGGATAATCACTTGAACTTGGGAGGCAGAGGTTGCAGTGAGCTAAGATTATGCCACTGCCCTCCAACCTGGGTGACAAAGCGAGACTCCATCTCAAAAAAAAAAAAAAAAAGAAAAAAGAAAGTTATAAGGTTTAAACAACAAATGCATATAAGTAAATAGGGAATTAATGATATAAAAGATAAAAAATTTGAGAATAAATGACAATAGAGGGTTGGTCAAGGGGATTCAAGCATAAGTAGAGAACAGAGGCAGTAGAGTGAAAAAATAAATAAATATTA